CATTTGAAAAAAAAAATAGTGTGATACTCACAGAAAGCTGTGATTTTAGACATTGGTTTTACATACATGTATTTTTAAAGTCTGAAGTCTTTTTTTGTAATGACAGTGAGATAAGAACTACATGATAAATTTTAAAATAATCAGTCCTTGAAAACTTATGTATTAAAAGATTCACAAGGTCAATCCCTATACACACGTACATTGTACACACTTAAAGATATTGTATCATATGATGTGTAAATTTTAATTTGAATACACAGCCCTTGTAGCAGACAGATAATGAAAGGAATTCTTTCTGATTTAGAAATCTATTACAGAGTAATATATTTCAAAGTAAAACGCTGAATGGAGTTCTCTTATTTTACATTATATGATTGATATTCTGTTACCAACATTATCTCAAAATCCTATATGTAAAACATCACAGGAAACAACGCAGTATAACGAACAAAATTCATGTTCCAAAGATGGCACTATTGGGCTCCGATTTACAATGTATCCTCACTGGCAAGAGTCTGGGTTTACCATGGATTTCTTTTTAGTTTAGAATTTCAATGCAATTTTCACATGATATTCCTCAAAGACCTACAATAATAAAATGCAGTTTTAGAAGATCATTCAGAACATTCAACATTAGAAAAAAATTATTATAACAGTAACAAATTACAAAACAATACTTATAAATCTTTTCTCTGTTGCCAAGGATGGCAAACCTTACCCTCTCTGCAAACATTGCCCTCTCTTTCAAAGTTCAAAGAAAGAAATTAAGATATTTTTATCAAACTTCATGTGCTGAAACATATTGTGGAGAGCTTTCAACTTCATGAACATTTTTTGATCTTGACCTCACTTTCCGAGTTTAGCTCAGTTTCAAAGAAACTATTCTATATATTTTTATGTAAGCTTCTGCACTGATACATTATTTGGTGAGAATTTATCAAATTTGTCCAATTTTTTTTAACCTTGACCTTCCCAATAACCTTTGACTTTAACATTTATTGTGTATAAAACCAAATTTTAGTATTGCAAATGCAATATGTCAATTAATATTTGTTATGTATACTTATCAAATTGTGAACAAGAACAGCTTAATATTAAATCAAGAGAGGGGACCTGCTTTAGAAACTCGATATGCATTAACCAAAGATGCCTTGAGCTGATCATTGTCATCAAAGCATTTAAATGACATGCAATGCACATCATTATCTAAACAAGCTCCTGGATATCCAAATGACTTACTTCTCTTTTGCTTTTCTTTTGTAATAATGGGGAGACTCGTGTTCATATTTGCAGTCCATTTGCACCTATAACTTATATCCACACCATTATGAATCTTGAGTTTTTTTATTCTTGGTATTGACTCCCCCTGTAAACAAAATTTTACAAGTACCTGTATTAATAAATTCATTGACAAATGGTGTTAAGAACGAAAAATGTTAGTGTTTATAAGCAAGAAACTTGAAATTAAAAAAGAGGAACTGCACATAGATACAAATGCATGGGCTATTAACAAACTTACTTGATTCCTTTGTGCAAAACTAAGGGCTGTATTAAATTGCATCTCAGAACATCTATGGGAAACTAGTTAAGGATATGACACCTACAATATGAAAAATATTTAATTCATAATAATTTAATCAACAATAAATACACAATACTTGAAGCTTTCCATTAATTCCTGTTGCTTTTATTGAAGAAGAAAATGGTAGCAAACATTTTCCTATTGCCTTTTCTCCATGTCCTCTGAAAGTGCTATTTAAATATATAAAAACTGCAATTTTTGGGAGGGTTTACTCCATGTAATTAGATTTGGAGTTAGAAACCTTGAGATTATGTAAAATTTTATTATACTATAGGGTAAGTTTTTATTACAAAAATAAGTGCATGTGTCCAGATATATATATATGATACAGTGTGAAAACTGATGCAAAACAAATTTTGGAAACAAACACAGTCACATGAATAGTTTATTTTTCTGACTAATGACTATTCAACATGTCCAATAACTTAAGTATTTTAATAAAAATTAGACTTCAAACATTGCAGATAAAGACCTGGACACACTTTTCCATGATGTGTTTTAGGTCCAAAACAATGTTCCATACAATGTGTGGCCCTAATGATCGACACGCACAGTACAGCAAACAATCTCCTATTATTATGAGGCTCCTGAAGGAAATTTTATAACTAACTACTTTTTCTTTCTATCTGCTGAAGAATATTGACACGTGTACTTACTTTTCGAATGTAATAATTACAATTATTGAATATACATGTATCACAACTTGCTTAACCTTTTTAAATTAAAAAAAAATTCACCCTCCTTGCAGAGCCCCATTTAAAAATAGTCTCTACGTACAAACACAACTTAACGGAGAGGCAATTCGGAACGTGAAGTCAAGAATTTTAACGGATATCTGATAACTGATCAGAAATCACATAGATATATGGCATTTTTAGAAACTCTGCAAGTCTGCAGAAAATTATTACACGTTCATTGCAAGGATTCAAACAAAGAGTCACGTTTTTACACACCCGAAATGTGTCTTACCTTCTATCAGCTGTTTTCACCGGAAACAATGGACATTCATTCTTCTATCGCCATAGAAAAGAGATCCGACGTAAACACATATGTTTAGAACTGTTTAATCTTTTCCTATTAGTTTGATAAGAGTCAACAAACTATTAAGACTTGTTCTAAGCAAAATTCAATTGTAATAAATGCATCTATCCACAAAAGAAATATGCCTATGCCAACCAAGTGCTCCGTGGAATGATATGACTGAGGAAACTCGAGTGATAAACAGGACACTTTTATCCCGGTTTGCGAGAGATGGGTTAAAATCGCGTTTTGTCATTTATCAGAAGATGCGATGCAACGAATAAAAGATGTAAGTTGTATAAACTAAGGACCATTACTTAAATATGTCTTGTGTTGATGTTGTTACGGTCTCATTTATTCTAAAAACAATGTTATTTGAACTCTGTGTGACAGAGTTCAATACTTCTTGGCGGACATAATAAACGCATGGCCTCAGGGAGACCACCATATGAAAAATCAAATTTTCAAAAATTATGGACAACGACAAGAAAAAAGCAAAACAAATGGTTGTAGCCATATTATTAATAAACCGAACTGACATCATTTTCATTGCATTATTCATCTCCTAAATGCTGTGGCTGCGCAGTTCTAACATGATTAATTTTCACTAAATGCAAACAATAGAAAAATAATTATTTAATAATTTTGGTCTCAAACAGTAGGTAATAAGTGCATTAGCACTTTGAGTAACTTTGAGCTGGTTTGGTAATGTATTAAGCGCATTCTCGGTATTTCTTATTTTAGACCAGAATACATCCAAGATGGCTTGTACATCCCCCTTAATTTTATCAAAATTGTGAAGAAGTTCCACTTTGATAGTTCCTTTTCAAATTTATGATCAGATCATCATTACTGGTTTAAATGTGTGTTTTTTTCGGAGTAAAAGTTCAAGGCTCTTGACATCACAGACAGCTGCTTTTTCAATAAAAATGGAATTCGTAAATATATTTACCTTGTCATTGGTCATTTACAAAATTATTTTGTTAAAAAGCATTCTGATTGTACACACAAGTACTCTGAAGTTGATATTAAAAAAAATGCTTGAGTTTCTGGTTGACAATATCAATGTAGTTTTTGGAGATCAGGTCTTCCAACAATCTGATGGAATTCCAATGGATACCAAGTGCGCCCCCCTTGTTATTTTTTTTTTGTATTCATATGAAGCAGAATTTATTCAAAAACTTCTACATGAGAAGAAGAAAACACTTGCTGTGGCCTTCAACTCGACATTTCGATATATCGACGATGTATCATCAATTAACAATAGTTACTTTCATTCATATGTCGACTCGATATATCCCAGTGAGCTTGAAATAGAAGATACCACAGATTCTAACACATCTGTTTCATATTTAGATATTTTACTAGAAAAAGACGTTAATGGTAACCTAACAACAAAGCTTTATGATAAACGTGATGACTTCAACTTTTCAATCGTCAACTTCCCTTACTTATGTAGCAATGTACCCTTAACACCTGCTTATGGGGTTTATGTCTCTCAGTTGATTCGATACGCAAGAGCATGCGCTACGTATGAACAATTTCTAAAACGAGGCAAGCTATTGACAAACAAGTTGACGAAACAAGGATATCAACAGTCTCGTTTGAAGTCATCTTTTCGCAAGTTTTTCGGTCGATACAATGACCTTGTCAGCAGATACAACCTTCTCAAAAGTTATAAGCAAAGATAATTTTTTTTGAAAAGTAGGTCAATCGTCAAGGCCACGGGGTCAAAAACCATAGTATATTTGGAAAGATCTTGTCACAGGTAATATACATGTGTAATATGTAAGCCTTATCTTTTGTCATTCAAAAGTTATGACCAATTTAAAGTAATGTTAAAATTTTTGAAAAGTAGGTCAAACTTCAAGGCCACGGGGTCAAAAACCATAGTATATTTGGATAGGTCTTGTCATTGGTAATGTACATGTGAAATATGAAAGCCCTACCTCTTCTCATTCAAAAGTTATGACCAAGTTTAAAGTTTTTGTGACAGACAGACGGACAGACGAATGAGATTTAATGTCCCCTTGCTTTCGCGAAAGCGGGGGACAAAAATGACCCAGATTGACCTGTGCAACATATTTTCTTGTGTTACATTTTATACATTAGCCCAACAAAGTGCATCTAAGCACCAAAGAAAACTTACGATTTCTTTATATTTTAGAGATTGATAATTAATTTTATGTCATTCATCCATTCAAATTCAGTCAAAAAATATATATCAATCCATGCATCGAGTTTCTGTTTGTGGTATGTACCCTTAAACCCAGTGACTAAACGAAGGATGACGAATCTTAAATGAAACAAAAATATTCCTGTAGATGTAAATTTATTCGTATTTATATGTAGAGATTTTGATACATTGCAGATAACAGGAGACAATGACAAGCAATAATAATAACAAAACCACAACGAAAATGGAGGACTCTTCAACTTGTGACAGCAATTTTGAAAAGTTATCGGGAAGAAAATATTTGATAGGACCAATCACATTTATGCATTTGTTCGGTTTTTCCATATTTAGCGCCACGGCTACCCTTTACTACCCATATAATGTTGGGAAATCCTTATTTTCAAACTCTTCTACGGAGAATGGAAAGAGTTCAGTGTGCAGTAGCAATTTAAATGCGTCAGAAACAGAGCATAGTAAAATCATACAATCCGAGGTGGCCATGTTTCTGATGTACCTTGCTGTTTGTGAGGGGATTCCTTGTATTCTTTCAAACTTGCTCCTTGGAAGTATTAGCGATCGTGTTGGAAGAAAAAAGATGTTGATAATTCCAACTATAGGACTGCTATTTGCGGAAGTTTTAATGATTATATTCATGTATTTCGAGTTCAAGCTATACTACCTTTTAATACCATTGATATTACACGGTTTCAGTGGAGAGGCATTTGCAAATATACAGTTTGCATTATCTTACACGTCTGATATCACAGGAAACAACAAGAAGAGAACAGTCGCCATGGGTTTCATGGAAATTTTCATCGGCATGGGACTTTTAGTGGGAGGCGTAGTAGCTGGTTATGTTATTCGGGATGGAGGGTACTTGTGGTCAATGATAACGGCTTTTCCAATAACATTAAGCAATATAATTTTAATATGCTTACTTCCGGAAACACGTAAAAGAAAAATCAAGGAACCATGGCACTGCATGAATGTTTTAAGATCGTTGCATAAATCCCTCCAATTCTATTACTCGAAAAATTATTCTGGAATGCGTTTGAAATACAATATTTGTATTTCAATCTGTGTGATAGGATTCATGACTATAATAGGCAGGAATCAGACAGAAGTACTTTACATTATTAGCCCACCATTTTGTCTCAGTACCGTTAACGTAGGATGGTTTCATGCCATCAGAGGTGTGATGCAGCACGGAATATCAATGATTCTTATACGAGTTTTCGTGATATGCTTGAGGGCAGAAACTATTGCAGTGTTAGGAGCTGTTTCAGGGACCATCAGTTTTATTGCGGAGGGGCTAACAAGTTCAACTGTTGTTTTGTTTTTAAGTAAGTTGTTAAAGATGATCTTGAACAAAAGTGTGTTTATTAGTAGAAAATTGTTCCATTTCTTTCTTCAAACTCTTTCACAAGTCAACTCTTGCATACGTAACAACTTTAAGCCCTTTTGCGCACAAAGGTATTTTGGTACCTGCTACCTTTGATAGGTTTTATGGTTGGAAAAACTGTCCATGGGAAAGACTGGATCACGATACTGTTTACCAAATACGTAGGAGAAAATGTTGAGATATGAGGTTTACGTTTAAGTATATATTAAAATCTTGCGTCGAAAAGCAAAATCGTTTCATATAACATAAAAGCTGTCCCAAATACGCGTTTTCAATTTCACATAAATCATGGTTTTAGGGGCATGACGATTTAAAAATCATCTTAAAAAATCTTCACAACTCAAGAATCTGTCAAATAAGTATAAAAGTCTCCTTAGGTAGAGAATAATACCGTTGAATTCATACTAGCGGCATCGGCCACTCTTGTGCAGATTACATTACGGGGGTCAGAGAATGCTACAAAAGGTATGCATATTACTGTTCTCAAAAAATCTCATCAAGAATCCCATACAATATTTTAAGAAACTAGAAGAAAAGAATTAATTTTTTTTATCACTTCAGCTCCGGTGATTGGACTGGGAATGAGTCTTGGAATTGTCATGATGAGATCTATCATGTCTAGAGAGACCCCGAACGAAAGTCAAGGTAAATAAAAATAACAAAGACATCAGGTGTTATTTTAAAATGTCCAGTATGTGGCGCAGCGGTTAGAGCGTTCGCTCTGGAGTCGCGGAGTAAGGAGTTGATCCTTACGTCGCGGGTTCCGATTCCCACCGTGGGACGTGGAGACCGGTCCTTCGGATGAGACCGTATAAACCGAGGTCCCCTGTCGCAGTAAGTGCTGGCACGAAAAAGATCCCTCGCTGCTCAATGGCCCTTGGTGCCAAGTATAGGTAAAAATTTGCAGCTCTCCATCTGCAAGTAATGGCGTCTCCATATGAGTGGGAAAAAAAAACGTTAAACAACAAACTAACAACCTTTTTACTTTTGCATGTAAAAGAGTAACTACTCTTGTACAAGAAGTTGTTCGTTCTCGCCTGATTTCTTTCCATTTTTGTAAAAATTGTGTAGCTTAACAGCTGTTAAAATTTCACATAAGCAGGTACAATGTCTCACTCGATTCTGACGTAAGTAAACCAGAAAGCACAGATGAATAATTTTACCTTTTGGTTGAAAGACTTTGACTTGACTTAAGTTTTATCTTTAGTGGCAAGTATTTTTTAAAAGCGGTGTCTTACGGATATTCGAGACATTAGAGCAAATTTTCAAGTTCTTCTTGCAATATTTTTTTTAAAAAGTCTTGACAATGTGTGTAAATATATGAATTTAATCAGTTTGGGATCTGTGCATTTTTCCCAACTGTTTAATTAGACCAGGTCTTCAAAAAAACTGTTGGAATTTTCGATGGGAACTGTGCTCCTTGATAAGCGACCAGTTTTTATATTCCTATGAGGCAGAATACACTACACAAAGAAAACACTTGCTGTGGCCTTCATGGCGATATTCACATATATCGGCGTCACTTTATGAATTAACAAAAGTTACTTCCAGTTATATGTCGACTCGATATATCCCAGTGAACTTAAAATAATAGATACCACAGGGCCTGCTACATTTGTTTCATATTTTGACGTTTACTAACTATTGACGATAGGGGACAACTAAATTGTATGAAGAACGAGATCACTTGTGCTTTTGCATCAGCAAATCTCCTTATTAAATAAACGTTATATTCAGCTATCACTCGCATGTGGTATTTTCGTCTCCCAACTTATTCGATACTCAAAAACATGCTCCAGTACCATCAATTTTTAACTGAGGCAGGCTACTGACAGATAAGTTGGTGTTACAGGGAATTCAACTCGTTTAAAGTCAGTATTTCGTTAAATATAGGATCGTTGTAATATTAATGACCTTATTAACAAAATAACCTATCAATTGGCCGTGTTTAGACTGACGTTTTTCATACCAATAGCTAGGTCTTTGTTTTTGTACTAAATTAGTTCCGTCTTTCTGATCAATGCATAGAGCTAACAGCGTGTGTGACCCGTCAACAGGGGATGCTTACTCCTCCTAGGCACCTGATCCCATTTCTGGATCTGTGTTTTATGCCCTGTTCACAAATCTGTGTTGTTTGTCGATTTTTTTTAGACCGGTGTCGCATAATATTTGGTCCGCCTCGTTTAAAGGTCCGGGGGGACCTAATACGATAACATATAAGGTCCGGCCTGCCTCTATAATAAAAGGCCCGCCTTCGGTTTAATATGCAGATTTTTCTCCTTTATTGATTCGAAAGTAATTTGCTTTATTAATCTTTTTAAATTATTTAAGGTATAGTTGTTATAAAAGTGTCCCTCCCAGCAAAATGGAGTTCCAGGGACGTACATGTATAAACATTGTATATATATACTAACAGGATCAAGTCTTGCGATATTTCGCTATGGTTGCTGGATTTCGTTAGTCAATTTTAATTAATTATATTTCTAATACTATGATATATTTCAGTACAAAACCTCAAATTATCTATTAAAAAATTATTCAAAATTTGATGTTAGCACTGATTAACTGTTTGCTCCTTATCGTAGTACATACCTCCCAGGTACTGCACAAAACAAAAAATATAAAGATGCAAAGATCTGTTGATCGAGTTACCTTATGGGAAAATCATGTACATGTGTCTTTTATAGTTTAGGTGATATCAATCGTTACCTTCACCTTTTTCATTAGCGACAAATTATTGTGCAAAAAACGAAGATTTTGGCCAACACATTACTTCTTACGCCGCCTCCGGAGCCTATATATGAAACTTGTCCGTTTATTTTGATTTTTTCCTTTTCAATTATTGCTTTATTCGTCGTCGCCCGCGCGGCGCAGTGGTTAGAGCGTCTGCTCTAGAGTCGCGGAGTAAGGAGTAGATCCTTACGTCGCGGGTTCGAATCCCACTGTGGGACGTGGAGACCGGTCCTTCGGATGAGACCGTATAAATCGAGGTCCCTTGTCGCAGTAGGTGCTGGCACGAAAAAGATCCCTCACTGCTCAATGTCCGTAAGTGCCGAGTATAGGACAAAATTTGCAGCTCTCCACCGGCAAGTGGTGGCGTCTCCATATGAGTGAAAAATTCTTGAGAGGGACGTTAAACAACATACAAACAAACAAACAATTGCTTTATTCATCACGTTCAAACAAACATAAAAAACATAATACAAAAATATTCTCTGGTATTGTATGACATGTCAAACGTTGCAATATTCGATCTTTTCCATTTATATTCTATAATTTTCCATTTGCATTGTATATTTTTCATTTGTATTGTACAATTTTTATTTGTATTGTATAATTTTTATTTGTATTCTATAATTTTCCATTTGTATTCAATAATTTTTCATTTGTATTGTATAATTTTTATTTCTATTCTGTAATTTTCCATTTTTATTCTATAAATTTCCTTTGGTATTGTTTAATATTACAATACAAATGGAAATGCATACAATACAAATGGAAAATTATAGAATATAAATGGAATAGATCGAATATTGCAACGTTTGACATGCCATACAATAACAGAGAATATTTTTGCTATATTATTGAAACTCAAATAAAAGTATATTTGATTTTTTCAAATCAAGACCCATAGAACATAATGACAATAAAATTTCAAAGAACGTTCTGAATTGGTCTCAAAATGTTTCGACAAAAAAGAAAAAAACCCAAATATCAAACTTTTTGGATTGTTATTCTCTAGCTGCATATACACTATGTTACATAGGCACTCCCCAGCTTAATTGTTAAAAAATATATATCTACTATACTATAAACATAACAAGGCATGAAACTAGCCTCCATGTTGGATTCCGCTTAGGAGCACTTTCTGACTAATAGCGAGAATTTCTCGCCTAAGTCGGACTTTTCTCAGACATCGGAAGCTGTCATTTATTGAAATAAAATCAAATCAGGTTGAATCTTGCAGTACGTTCGTCGCATTCACGCGTTTTCTAACATTTCTCAGCAAACCAGGTCTCCTCGGCCGGAACTTAAAGGTTTATGGGGGTATAGATAATTCGATCGTCGTTTACCTTCAAAGTAAGCTAACGTTGTTTTTCATAACGAATGAATGTACCGTGAAATAAATATAATTTTACACCAATAAGACCTTGCAAGATTTTATAATACATGTTCAGGTCCATAAAAAGCTGTTTCAGTGTGTTTATGTGTGTGTGTGTGGGGGGGGGGGGGGTCAACTGAACAACAATTCTTTGACAAGAAAAATATAGTTGAAGGAGGACAATCGTAAGTTAGGTTTGTTTTCTATTGCATAGTATTAGTATATTCATGCATTGGCAAAATTATAGGGGCGAAAGGAGGGGGCACGTTTAAGCAGATGAGTCTTCAATACAAAGGTGGATTTGACCGGGGGGGGGGGGGGGTTAATTATAATAAAATACAGCGGATATTTGCAGAAGAAAGTTCTGCACGAAAAATGTGAGTTATATTGGAAGAAAAAGAACTATACACAGGAAAAAGACTTGGCTTTTTTGCTTTCTTTTTCTTTTCTTTTCTTTCTTTCTTTCTTTCTTTTTTTTGTTTTTTTGAAAATTCAATGATGGTACAAAGACACCAAAACAGAATAATACAATTTAGAGGAGAATTTGATTCTAGAGGGAAAGAACTTTTTTCGAGTCAAAATGTTTATTTTCATGTCATTGAAGGACAGAATATTTATTTCCAAGATGATTAGGGAAAGTTGTTTTTTTTATTTCTACTACACCAAAAAAGTGGGTAGGAAAAAATAAAGAAAAAAATGGGACAATTAGTGTGTGCGGGGAGCGGGGGTTGAGGGTGGGGTTACGATCACTCAAAGTCAAATAATTTATTTTATTCCTAGTGGAAAATAGGTGGGTTTTTTTCAACACTTTCAAGGACAGATTTTTTTTCTCTCCAAAATCTGCCAGCACCTATCAGAATCAAAAAATTGTCCCCCCAGAATCCTTTATACTGTAGTTGTCAAGAACGTGTGTGCAAATTCACACTTTATATTCTTGCAAAATTAATAGTTTAGCTCTTTGTGTATATGTTTGTGTTTATATGTGGTTGTCGCAATGAAATCAGCGGGGCTCAGGAACTTCATTGTAATGACATATACATAGTAAACTAGTCTATTAAATGACTCCTAATCTAGCTGCCTTTGCATTTGTTAACTGGACTGAAGCTGGTTTTTGGTCAAAACTAATGCCATGCGTGCTATCATTCTCAGTGGAACACTGTCATAAAATCGACAAAGAGTGAGCTGATGAAGTTAGTTTCAGCTTTGTAAATATTAATGGTGATGTGAACATGCCAAAATATATATTTAGAAATAATTTCCCTTACAAAATATTTAAAACATCCAAACCACTTGTATAATATTTTAGTTAAATTTTTGAACTTGTTATTAAACTTTAGAACTGTCTCATTTTATTATAGTATATTTGTATGAATCCATCTATAAGAAATAAGTCCCGCTATCAGGATAACATATACATGTACTTGTATATTCATTTATTTTGCAATAAAAGTTACACTTTACATGTATGTAAGTAACACACTTTCCAGAGATGAATCAGGGATTTCAAAGGGGGGGGGGGGTCAAAATGATTAAGTGGTAATAGAAACTAAAAATAATTGTAGTAAAAATTAGTATTAAAGCATAAGTTTTATCAAGACTTTCTTTTATATTGAATATTTTCCCCCTTTTCTTTTGTTTCTTAAAAAGTTAAAATGTGGTGACCCCCCCCCCCCCTTCGATAGATCTGCTACTGTCTTCAAGACTGCTTATACATATATTGAAGACTCATCTGTTTAAACGTGCCCCCCTCCTTTCGCTCCTATAATTTTGCCAATACATGAATATACTAATACTATGCAATAGAAAACAAACCTAACTTACGATTGTCCTCCTTCAACTATATTTTTCTTGTCAAAGAATTGTTGTTCAGTTGACCCCCCCCCCCCCCACACACACACACATAAACACACTGAAACAGCTTTTTATGGACCTGAACATGTATTATAAAATCTTGCAAGGTCTTATTGGTGTAAAATTATATTTATTTCACGGTACATTCATTCGTTATGAAAAACAACGTTAGCTTACTTTGAAGGTAAACGACGAGCGAATTATCTATACCCCCATAAACCTTTAAGTTCCGGCCGAGGAGACCTGGTTTGCTGAGAAATGTTAGAAAACGCGTGAATGCGACGAACGTACTGCAAGATTCAACCTGATTTGATTTTATTTCAATAAATGACTGCTTCCGATGTCTGAGAAAAGTCGACTTAGGCGAGAAATTCTCGCTATTAGTCAGAAAGTGCCCCTAACAGTGCCTAAGCGGAATCCAACATGGAGGCTAGTTTCATGCCTTGTTATGTTTTTAGTATAGTAGATATATATTTTTTAACAATTAAGCTGGGGAGTGCCTATGCTTTGTTACAATGATAATACTGCATATTTTTTATCTCCTATTTTGATATTGCAGGTGCCCTTTTTGGTGGAATGGCTGCTGTACAAACTGCATGCACCTTCTTTGGGTCACTGATCTTCAGTGCTCTATACAGAAACACTGTTTACTATTTCCAGGGAACTGTCTTCCTTTTAATGGCTGCGATGTTTTCAATTTCATTGGTTCTTTCCCTGTACGTATGCTGAGAAATAACCCCGAGATACTTTCCGATCTGTAATTTGTAATGCAGCAACACGGTTAATTAAAAGTAGAAGTACTAATTTTGGTTACTTTCAATTTATCCTTGGCAGTCAGGATTAGGTTTATAAAAATTACACTTCTAAACATACAAGTTTTCTAATTAATGTTAAAATACCTCAGATTAACTTATATATTGGATACTATTCACTATTCATTGTAAAGAAAATGTATATTGATTTAACATAGCAACTTTATGTTGTTTTGCTTTTCAGAAGTTTAACCTTCATTCCGAAGTTACGGCGGATCGAGTACGACCTTGAAGTTAAAGAAAACAAGACTGAATTAAATGAAAAATTTTAAGTACGAATTTATCTGCATTAATTGACATGATGATCACTCTGAGAGAGAAATTGGAAAATATGTAGAACTATTATTTTGCATTCCTAGTTTGTTATGCTCACTGGAAAATTGTGTAAAATGTTGAAAATATTTTACAATCTCGCAATTTTCAGCTGAGGAATATAAGTCTCGTTTTAGTAAAAAAAAATATCTTTATTTGCCACGTTGCTTTCAAAGAAAATATTCATGTACCCAGCCGAAATGATAACATTCAAATCATACTATTGATATGTATTCTTTGCAATTGCATGTTGTTATCAACAGTAGCCTATCTCTGAAACACCCCGTGGGGACCCGGGGTGACAAGAATAGTTCTCTGGCACCATCTTGCATGTCGTAAGAGGCAAAAAATATGGGACAACCTGCTAGCCGTGGGTTGCGACCCATGTTGATGGAGAAGGGGATCCTGCTGGCTGAAGTGCTGGGTGTAATGCACTTGATACAACCAACACTCCATTTTGGCCCGACTTGATCAATCGGCTTGTCACTCCAAGTTAATTTTATCTATTCTACATGCCATAACATTGATGTATTTGTAAACTCTGTTAAAATCTGTCTTTCTCTATGTGTTCGTTCTAAGGTTTGACGCGGCTTTGCGAACGAAAATTGAACCCGGGACTTCCGTTCGCTTCGTGATCGGGAGGCCCGGATTGGATTCTCGTTCACCGAGCCGCTTCAAACCTAAGAAACATAGGTAGTGACTGTTCCCTCGCCAAGCGCCCAGCACTAAAAGTGAAAGTCACTGACCTAAACCAGAAGTCTCTGACGAGACTGTAGCTCTATTGGTTTTGTACTTATAACAAAGGAAGATAGTAGTATTTGGACTTGTAACTTTGCAACAGGAATAAATAGAAGTAATGATCCTTGGTTTTGTCTCTTTGTGGCAAGATTTATTGCAATCAGATTTAAACTGTATGAGGAGTAGCCTTTTAAAAGAATTTTACAGATAAGTTGCATACATCCCGTGCACAACATTAGTTTTTCGTCAAAATCTTTGAAATCCGATTGACTTTATTCTTAGACAAGGTATGCATACGTACATATAAATAAAATGTCATTAACAGTAATATAAAAAACTAAGATAAACCAAAGACATTTTCTGATATTTGATCATAAACACAAGGTTGTGTGAATTTCGCTTCGATCGTCGGAATTGTGTTGAGGTGTTTGAAGAAATTAGAAAGGGTAGAGTGGATTCATAAACATTCATATACTCCTAAATCAATGCTTTCTTCCGTAAGCATATGCTTTCCGGCAAAAGATATTCTTAAATTGAGACATTGGACAAAAAACGTACCTCGAACCCCTTCTCGCCGCTTCAAAAGGATACTTTTCGTTCACAACATAGTATACACCCCGCATGTTGGGATATACACGGTGAGAATTATGTATCTTAGTGTAGTCTACTTGTGTGCCGAGTAATACTGAAATCAGACCAAAACTGTAGGAGGAGTAGGGTGTTCAAAGTATTGTACAGAAATTTCTATTTTTAGTAACCATGATGGCAGCACCGTTCAAAAACCGATAAAAGATAACAGTTGTGTTTAAAACTGGAAATTAAATAGATTTTGAATACCTGTGTTTACAAAATATTTCGACGGAAAAACTTAAAAATTATCCTCATTCTATTAAAAAAAAATTTTGAATTTTTTTTACACACAGCAAATAAGTGTATACCTCAAAACTAGACAAATTCTTCTAGAATAAAAAAAAAAGGTTTATAGAAGAATGCAATAAAGCTATTAAAGGTTCTGGGGAAAAATATCAACTTCTTAAAGTTGTAAATCAAATTATTACAGATATTAAGGAAGAAATATCTCGCAGACAACTGTTTGCATGCGTAATACGAGAAGTCAACACTCTATTTGTGAAAATCCAGGATATAAGCAGATGCAGCTTGAGGTTTTGCTGACCATGTATTAAAAATTCATGTCAAATTTGAAAATGTTTTCTTTCCTCTTAGAAAAAAGTAGGCAAACTATTTGCATGGGTATAATAAGCATATAGCTTTCACCAAATTTGTGAAATCCATGACCCTTGGTAGAGGTGTCTGGCATCAGAGAAGGACTAAGTTGGTTTAACATTGAAAATATATTACACATTAAAAAATCTTTTTCCTGGAAATCTAATTACAATGCTTAATTTTTTTTAAGCCCTATATTTAATTGTGAAATTCATGCCCCGAGGGTAAGATTTCAGCAGCCCCCCGGGTGGGTTAAGTAAGTCATGTATTGAAAATAAAAGGCGTAATAACGCCTTTTGGAAAGGCGTAATAATGCCTTTTGGAAGGGCATAATAACGCCGTTTGAAAAGGCGTAATAACGCCTTATAGAAAGGCATAATAACGCCTTTTAGAAAGGCGTAATAACGCCTTTTTGAAAGGCGTAGTAACGCCTTTTAGAAAGGCGTAATAACCTTTTTGAAAGACGTAATAACGCCTTTTGAAAAGGCATAATAACGCCTTTTTTCGCGTTATAACTCCTTTTCAAAAGGCGTTATAACGCCTTTAAAAATTTTTTTTCTTCGTAGATTGATCCTAATAGGCTTTCGTAGAAAAAAAAAACGAATAATTTAAAGAACCATTTACTTTCGAGGATTTGCAAATCTCATAATACAGCTGTAGGACAGGCCAAGATTCACTATCGAATAATTAAACATCTCCCAAAAATCAGCAAAGAATGTCTTCTGCAAGTTTTATATGATCTTGGAAAGATCGCAGGCAACGATTATTCCAATTCCAAAGCCTGGAAAGGACCACACAGATCCAAATAATTATAGTCCAATCGTTTTAACAGGCTGCATTTGCAAAACCATGGAACGGATGATCAATGAACGCTTAATATGGTTTCTTGAAACCAATAACAGATAAACAAACAAACAAACACAAAAAAAAAACGAAGTACAACTGACGTCTAGTAGGGCTGGGAACTATATTCGAGATGTCTGTTTAAAAAAGACACGCCGTATCTATGTTTTTGACTTGGAAAAAGCGTACAATACATCGTTTTAATATTGGCATTAAATGTAATTTACCAATATTTAAAATGACAGAAAATTTAAAGTACTTTTAGGGTGTAGTCTCAAACTATCTTGACCAAGAAATGGGTGCATCACAAGGAAGTATCCTATAATTCATATTAAACAGTATAAAAGTAAGTAGTTTCGCTTAAATACTAAAAAATTATATGCTTGGTAGTTCATATATTAATGACTGTAATGGTCCTTTGCTACAAATCCAAAAATATGAATTCCATTGATCGCGAGCGACAGTTACGGTCGTGTCGAAACAAAATTCAGAATTGGAATGGGAATGGTTTTAAATTTTAAAAAAACGAAACCGCATGCTTGTATTTCTCTTTAGAAAGTCCACGACGATCAGCATTTATAGATGATGATCCAATTAAGTACAATTAAAGTTTTAAATACTTAGGTGTCATCTTCAATTATAATAAACTCTCTTAATTCCGCATATTAAAATGATCACAGAAAAATGTACAAATGCTCTAGATAAAATGTAAGTTATTGCAAACACTAATGGGAGGATAGGAATGCTCTTTTTAAACTCTTTCGCTCTCTAGTCGATCAAAATTACACTATTGCTGTATTGAAGAAGGATCAATAAGGACCTTATAAACCACTTAAAAGCGCTTGACGCAATTCACCACCAAAGCTTCCGATTGTGCTTGGGGCTTTTCGAACTTCCCCTGAAGACAGTTTTCATGTTAAGCAAATGCAAATGAACCACCTCTCGCCTTAAGAAGAATTAAACTAACTTGCATTTATTACTTAAGTCAGAAACGAATTCAATTTAAAAACAGAAATAAGGTGATATAAATAAACATTCTACCATTGAGATTTATACAGATGGTTTAAAAGCAAAATTAAAGTTGCTGCAGTGGTTTAAAAATGTGTTCTCTACACGACTTCCGAATAAAACAATTTTTACAGCTGAAGCAAAAGCAATACACCTTTCATTTGAATATATCCAATCTTCTAGTGACAATTATATTACATTTTTTCAGACTCTCCTGCTTTCAGTCCATAAACAGGATATACCAAAACGTACTATCATTTCACTAATAAAACAAGGTAAAATTGTTGAATTTTGTTGGATTCTAAGTCATTTATTGTTATCCTATAAGTAGCAAATATTAGATTTTTTTTTTTTTTTGCATTGACCTGAGAATAATATATTCTCATCATGTGAGAACCAGAGGAGGTTGTAGATTTGAGATGGCAATACAAATTTTGAAGTTTTACTAGTAATAGGCAAATTCGAAAGTTTTTCACTTTTTTGCAGAACGACGGACGCTTCTTCCGATTTGTTTAATTTTTGCACTAGATGTTTTCGAGCGCTGTGGTTAGTGAGTTTTTGTCTCCACCAATACCAGCTGCCTTTGCCATTCTTTTTTTTTTTATTAATGATGATAATTTATTAACGCCAACTGGCTGTCTTTTAAACCATTGGCCAGGGATTGAATATGTGTGGCTAAATAAAATGGGTCATCAGGTTTTGAAAAATCATCGGGTTTAAATTTTTATTTAAGCAATTATATAACAGCAGTAACAGCATCATTTATTTTTTAACTTTGTAGAAGTCATAAATATGCATATGTTTGCATAAAATTTTCCAAATCTTTATCTCCCAGTATCAGTTTTCATTAACAAATATTACAGAACATTATTTTGTATGACATGATCATAATTAATTGCAGTATCCCTAGAAAAATCGTACAATATATATACAATTACATGCATTAAAAACATATTTGTCACATGTATATTTATATATACATAAATTAATGCAAAACAGTCAGAGGGCTCCATAAGAAGCCATGGAGAAGTGAGCATCCCCTCCAACCGGTCACACCCGCCGTGTGCTCCTTGTCGTGATGGGGAAATAACGGAAAAATCCGTCGACAATTCAGTGTGTAAATAATGGCCTAACAATTAGTATGAAA